CTCTTCTTAGACCCAAGAAAAGTGTTAGTCTGTATACGGCAATAAATCGAACAATTCACGAAATGTGTGTAGACTTAATGGGAGAGAAACAGTAAATTAATTATTAATCACATGAAGATTCACCCTTCAGTTGCTATACCCAATTTCGTCCCGTCTTTTCAGTCCGTTGTTTATGGTGTAAGTGTGGTTCAAAAGTATTTCTTTTCATTACATTCACCTGCTTGCTGTGTAGACGAAAGCTATAAATGCTGTGCCAAATGTGATGCACGCAACGATGGATGATGGATCCGTCAGGTAAGTGCTGAGCAGCAGGCACAATACCAACATCATAAAGCCTCCGCACATATACAACTTCCGCACCTGACACAAAAAAGGAGCATCTTGAAATCAGCTAGATCCGGCTGAGTCACCTCAATGTAGGCTTAAAATCAACTAATAGTTGTTTTATTGTATCCGCGAAATGATTATGAAAGAAATTAGGTAATATTGTATTTAAATTCAATTATTATTACAAAGTGCCAGTAATTGTACAGAACCCAACAATGAAGTCAATAATGAGTTTCGTATATATATAAAATAATCAGTAAACAAATCTCCAAATTTGTCTACTGCAATACTCTCATCAACTCAGTACAACACAAAACTGCATTCAACTGAACGTCTCGTCTTAAATTACTTTTATTTTTAACTGTTCTTAAATGTCTAGTATTAATGTTCACATTGTTTTATCTTATACAGCAATTATACAAGATATCTCAAAATAAATGTTATGAGATTCTAGCATATTGAAGAGGGTCGAATATCATTTTTTGTCACTGAAAATGTGGGGATTTCATATTACGAAGCTATGCCTCTCATGCTTCGCCCTGTTTGGTAGGCAACTCACTAAGAATTAGCGTGTGGTAGGCACGTTGAACCAAAGATATTTTGTGTACATTATGAACACCAAAGTACACGTTTCCTAACAGCCAAGGCGACACGACGGCTGTTCAAAAAGTGAATTGACGTCATAAAACAAAATGCATTTTACTTAAAAGTTAGATGTCTGGATTCCCTTCAAAGTACTCTTCACCCCAAAGCAGACACATATTTCAACTGTGTTTTCATTTGTTGAAAGAGTCCTACGCTTCTTTTGTAATGGCCGTCAGTGCCTTCGCCACATTTACCATAATCTCGGGAATCATCTCAAATCTTCTTTCCAATTGTCTTTTGAGTTTGGGGAACAAGAAAAAGTCACAAACAGAAAGGTCAGGTGAGGATGGGGAAGAGCAGTGATCGTGTGATTGGCCAAAAACTTACGGGTTCCGAGAGCTCAATGGACATGAGTGTTGTCATGATGGAAAAATCAGTCGCCACTCCTACATATGTTTGGCCTTCTCCGACGGATGTCGACGCTCAGACGTTTCTGAACAGAATATAGTAATTTTCGTTCTTTGTGGAGCCTTCTGGGAAATACTCATGGTGAAAAACACATCTTGATTTTTTTAAAATCAACATCATCTTAACCTTTGACCCAACATAGCGTGCTTATTGGATCTGCGGGACATTTCAGTTGTCCACTGGAACTTGTTTCAATGTCATAACTATAAACTTATTATTCATTACCGGTTATGATCGTTGATAAGTTTTGATCTTCTACTGAACGGAACTTTCCGGAAAAATTACTTCAAATTTGGCGCCTTGTATTTTTAACAGAGCGTTTGATATTCTTTGAAGGCGTTTGAGAGGAAAGGATTATACATTTTAAACTTG